AAAGAAACATGAAGAAAAAAAAAAGAGAGGTGGAGTTTAGCCTCTGCGGCTTTCATGCCTGCGCTACACTTGTGTACGCAAGTAGTTATACCCGTGTGGCCTCTAAAGGAAGGAAATAGATGCATACTTGCTTCCCCCACACGACCACTGCTCTATGCTCTTATTTCTTTATGCTTCCTTAAGTACAGACGTGCGTGGACGCGTATAAATGCATGAGTGTAGCTCAACTTTCCCTGCTCAGCCTCGGTGCGGCGGTACACGTCTCTCTGCCGTGCCGCCGCCGCCGCCTCCTCCTTGATGTCTTCTCCCCGCACGCACGACGACAGTGACACGCGTCTTATTTTCGGTTGAGTGTATTCCGTCTTTTTTTTCTTTTTTTTTATTTCCTTCTTTCTTTCTGCGCCGCCCGCGACGTCTCCTGCCGTTGAAACGCACACGCACGGTGGCAGGAGGAGGGAACAAAAGAAAAGGAGAGGCGAGGTAGAGAGGGGAAGTCAACAACACGAAGGGCGCAAGCAACTCGGGAAGAGGCACCAGACGAATTTATCGGCACCAGACCTCGTCCCGTCACGAGAGGGATGGACGCCGTCTTGCGGAAGGTGCAGGAGAAAATCCAGCAGAACTTTCGTCGTGGCGGCGGCGGCTCAAGGTTCTTCCGCACCGCAAGGCGTGGCGAGGGAGTAGAGCTGCGCGAGGAACTCAACAGCAACGACAGGGAGAGGCAGAAGAATGCCGTGAAGCGCATCATTGCCGGCATGACTATGGGCCGCGATGTCAGCTACCTCTTCATGGACGTCGTCAAGCTCGGCCAGACCCCAAACCTCGAGCTCAAGAAGTTGGTCTACCTGTACGTCCTCAACACAGCCAAGCTGCAGCCCGACAAGGCCCTCATGGTGGTCAACACCTTTCTGCAGGACACAACCAACAGCTCCCCGATTGTGCGTGCCCTTGCAGTGCGCACGATGCTGTGCATCCGCGTCGACGCGGTGACTGAGTACACCCTGGAGCCCCTCCGACGCGCCGTGGCGGACCATGACCCGTACGTTCGCAAGACCGCCGCCATCGGTCTTGGAAAGTTGTTTCATCAAAACATGCCAATGTTTAGGGAGCAGGGGTTTGTTGCGGAGCTTTTGAGGCTGCTGAATGATACTTTCCCTATCGTCTCCGCCAACGCGGCGGCCGTTCTAACGGAAGTGAACAACCACATCCCAACCCCCATTGTGCCACCGGGCGACTACGTCAACCGCCTCCTGCATCACCTGCCGGAGTGTACGGAATGGGGTCAGTTGTCTATTCTGGAGCTTCTTGCCGATGCAAAGCCCAAAGACGCGGCGGCGGCAGAGGACATCATTGCCAGAGTACTGCCGCGACTTAGCCACAGCAATTCCTCTGTTGTGATGGGGGCCATCAAGGTTGTGGTGAATCTTGCCAACCGATGCAGCCCCGTGGCTGTGACGAATTTCAGCGCGAGAGTGAACTCTGCCCTAGTAACACTTTCGAGGGGAGATCCGGAGACGCAGTACGTGGTTTGCAAGAACATTCACGCCATACTGGTAGTCTTTCCCAACTTAATTTGCAACAGCCTCGACTCCTTCTACGTCCGCTTTACAGACCCGCCGTACGTCAAACTTGAAAAGCTGCGACTTCTGCTGAAACTCGTGACACCCTCGACGGCGGTCCAGATATTAAAGGAGTTGGATGAATACAGTTCAGAAGTGGATTTGGTGTTTGCGGAGGAGGTCGTGAAGAGCATTGCGACCCTTGCGTTGAAAATTGATTCGGTTGTCTCAAACTGTGTGGATTTGCTCTTGCGCATTGTTGCGGCGCGGCCGGAGCTGTTGCCGCAGGTGATCACAAGCTGCAAGAACATCGTCCGCAAGTACCCGGAGCAGCTCGTTCTGGAGACGCTGATCCTCGAGCACGGCGCCGATGCCGTCCTGGAGGAGGACGCGAAGGTGTCGCTTATCTGGATGTTGGGCGAGTTTTGCGACTTCATCGAGAATGGGAAGCAGATCCTCACCCGCTTCATTGACGAGCTGATGTCCCACGAGCAGACAGTGCAGATGGCAATTCTTAGCGCCGTCATCAAGATGTTTTTACGCGACCCGGTGGGGATGGAGCAGACGCTCAACGTTGTGCTGGAGACCCTGACGACGCGAAGCGACGACCCCGACCTGCGCGACCGCGCCTACGCCTACTGGCGGCTCCTCTCCAAGGGGGTTGGGGTGGCGAAGATGAAGCAGATCGTGCACGGGCATCATGCCCCCATCACAGTGGAGTCCACCTTCAGCGACGCCATGACGATGGCGGACCTTAAGAAGTCCATCAACACAGCGGCGGTGGTGTTTGGTAAACCGTTCCAATCCTTTCTTCCGCCGTACGGCATCCTAAACGACGATGCCAGCGAGGAGGAGGAGGAGGAGGTGGAGGCGGAGGAAAACGTCACGGCCGCGCAGCCGGCCGCCGTTTCCCCTGTTTCAGTTGCTTCTCCGAACGATCCCGCATCCGTAGTCAGCGGTGCTCCCGCCGTGAAGCACGTAGACCCACTGGATGAACTGTTCGGCGGCCCATCTTTAACATCGGCGACGCAGCCGCAACCGCGTGAGGAGCAATGGCAAAAGCAAGAGTTATCGTTCAGTCATACTGATTTCTTTGCCGCACAGACTCCACAGCAGCAGCAGCAGCAGCGCGAACAAGAGCAAGATCAACAGCAGCTTCCACCGTTGGTTCTTCCAGCAGGGAGTGTTGAAGTGGATGTGCATTGTCAGCTGGTGGAGGGGCCCGCGCTGTGGATCGCCCTGGTGAACCACCAAGCCGTGGCAATTGAGCGGCTCCTGCTGCAGATCAATTTGAACATGTTGGGGTACCTTCCCGAGGCCGGGCTTGCCGAATTCATGGCCTCCGTGCCAGCTGGTGAAACACGCTCGGTGCGGTTGCCGCTGAAGGCGGCGCAAGGGCACTTGGACGTCGCGCGTCCAGCACTGGAGGTTGGAGTCAAGGGGACGCATCTGCCGCTCCTGATCTTCCAGGTGGAGGTGCCAGCGGAAAGTATTTTGGCGCATTCCGGCCCAATAGAAAAATCGGACTTCGTAGCTGAGTGGCAGGCGATGAATGAATCGGCGGAGGCCAAGCAAACGCTCGGTGAATTTGGAGAAAATATGCTTCTTTCGCCCGATCGGCGCGGCATTCTGGAACGCAATCATGTCTTTCTCCTCGCACCGGAGCGTGATTCAGAGGACTTCATCTCATACCACGGCAAGGTGACCACCACGCTCGGGTTCCACGGGCTGCTTGAAATTCTCCTCGACAAGAAGAGGCCGTCGCAAAGTCAGTTGTGCCTCAAAAGCCAGCACGTGGGCTCGATCATGCCACTTTTGCTGAAGGTGATTCAGTCTGTCTTTCCCAGGCGGGCGGTGGCCCGTGGGGCGGCGGAGGCGGAGACATCCAGTGACCACGCATCGGGGCTGGACAACTGGTTCGCTTGAAAGCGATAACACCGCCAGAAGCAAATGCAATAACACAAGGAAAAGAAGCACACACAAAGGGAGAGAGAAGTGAAAAGGAAAAGAAAAAAAGTTGGAAATGGAAAGCAAAAGGCGTAGGAATCCTTTTTTAGTACGTTGACTCCGTATAACGATATATTGTGCCGCTTGGGGGGTTGGTTGGGAGGCAGGATATGGGTCACGGTTGCCTCCTTGCCATTCCCTCTCGTTTCTCTTTGTTTTGTTGTTGTCGTTTTTGTGTGCCCCTCCTCCCCTTCACACTCGCCTGAGCTCACGCGTTGAGATGCAGGGAAGTAACAAAGAAAAAGTGTGTCCAAACTCGTCAACAAAGGGGCACCCCACTCATTCACTCTATTCTTTCTTTTCCCTCCTTTTTGCCCTGTCGAATGTCTTAACGGGCCGATCCCGTCCCCTACTCTCTCTCTCTCTCTGTGTGTGTGTGTATGTGTGTGTTATTTTATGCGGCTTAAGGTAACGAGCATAGGATGTTCCGTCGTCTCTCCTCAAGCGCATTGGCCGTCGCTGCGGTCCGCTTCTACACCCCATCGGAGGCCCTCAAGAAGCTCTACGCTAGCGACTTTGACAAAGCTGCGTTTCCGTTGAGTATTGTGCCCAGCGATAGTGTTCTTTTTGCACAGTTCCTCTACAAGGCAGCCGAGCCGGAGGGCAACTTTGATGCCATTTTGAAGGACCTTCAAGCAATCGCCGCCGCCTCGAGTAAATTCCCCATCTTCTGGGAGCGTACGACGGTCGTCGAAGAAGTCGCCGAGTTCAAGAAACTCTCGGAGCCCACTTTCTTTACAATGGTTTGGATGCAGAAAAACGGCATGTTAGACCTCCTTCCGGAAGTGGCGGAGGTTTTCGAGGCGTACGTCAACGCCAAACAGAAAAAAGCTGTGGCGAAAATTTACGTGGCTCCAGGGAAAGAGGGCGACTTGGCGGAGGCCAAGCGCGTCGCGCAGGAGCTGCACAAGGAAGCCAAGGAGCTTGCCGGCCACACACTTGTCTTTAAGACAGTCGTCGATCGCTCCATTGTGACGGGCTTCGCGGTGGAACTCGCCGGGCAGTACGTGAACCGCGCTGAGGGCCAACAGCACACATCCACCGTGGACGAGGCGGATTACACCACCGTTCCGCCACCGCGGCTTCCGAAGACGGTGTGGGCAGACAACATTGAAACGGAGGTGCTGCGCCGGTACCTTGACAGCCTCGCAGAGTACGACGCAGAGGAGCTAAAGCACGGCGTGTGAAGGAGCATAACGCAAGGAAAGGAGATGAGGGGGGATTGCGAAGTATTTCGAGGTTAAAAAAAAAATGGTGGAACAGGCAGAAAAAATAGAAGAGAAGTAAAAAAAAAAACAAAGAAAAAAAGGAGGGAATTTCTCTTGTTTTGCCCCCCCATTTTTCTATTTTCCCGTCTCATCCCCCTCATTCTGTGAGTGTGGGGGGGAAGAAGGTAAGCGCGTCGTGGGAGGTGGGGAGGGCGGAGTAGGCAATTGTAGCAGAGTGGAAGTAGGAGAGGGACGGAGAGGGAGACTAAGAACTAAAGTAGCGAGCACAATCATCGGACATTTCTTTTTCTTTTTTCTCAGGTTCGTCCTCTCACAATGTCGCCGTTTTTTTCGGATGTGTGTGTGCGTGCCTGTCTGTGTGTCTGTCTGACTCTCTGTGCGTGTGCG